AAGCTTTGATAAAAACCAAAAGTAAAATTTTTTTTCAAAAAGTAAATTAAAAGTAGATCAGAATAAAAAATAAATAGGAACGCAGCCTGACAAAACTAATTTTCAAAAAATTTTAAAAAAAATCCCCGTTTTTGATGTATTGCAGAAACCAACATAATATTTTAAAACAATTATCCTTCAATTAAAAATAGATAAAATTTTTAAAAATCCCTTTAATTCGTTAAATTTTCATACTTCTCAAATTATGAAAACCCTTCAATCAAATGAGTGTTTTTAATCCAAAATATGAAAAGATGCCTGGGGGACACATTTGACAATAAAGTTTCTTTACTACATTTTTCCCCTTTATAACTGGCAGACAAATTTCTGACAGACAGAACTAGTAGTAGGCAACTTAAGATTTTACCAAATGACAAGCATGTGGCATATTTGTTCACCTTCATATCACCCAAATATTCAGTCAAAAATTAGGTCACTTTCAAAAACTAAGTCAACAGGGTTTAGAGGGCCTTTCAGAAAGTCACCTCCCAGAGTTTTTCCCGTTCTTTGTTCTTGCTCACAGTAAATCTCAGGACCAAATGTCTGTGATCTCTAAGTACTGTGACCCAGTCTTTTCATTGCCACTTTCCCCAACATTCTTAGAATAAGAACACTGGTTTCCTAGAAAAGCTACAGCAATTATACACAACTTGGAAGTAAACACTCTATTTTCAAGTCGTGAGATGGTCTAGGCTTGAAAAAAATTGCAAAACCATACTAGTTCTTCAGTAAGTTTACATTTCAATTACTGCAAGACTGAAAGACTTTAAGTAGGCCATAGCTGCCACAGTATACAGGAAATTATATCCTAGGAAAGCTCCATTTTAAAAATAGGCAAAGGAAGAAAGGAAGGTTGCCAAAATACATAGCACTTTTCATTTGTTTTGATTTGAATACAGCATCTGTTTTATCAGGTGCAGTCTACAATATTTGCAGGCTTAAAGGCAATGGTAGCAGTTAGGGTGGGAAGAAGTAAATTAACCAAAAATGTTTGCTTTCTGAGAATAATTTTGAAGTAGAAGATATCAGTAGAATTTAGGTATTAACCAAACATCACAGAATAACTGGACTTAGGGATAAGTCAGACTGGTCTATGTATCCCTAAGGAGTAGAATCAAAGCTGAGAAACTAGACCCATCCACTGAAGAAAGGGACATGTTCTTGTAAATACTATTTAATATCTGTTATACACTTAGAAGTCAACTCTTCTTCCTTCTTTATTCATTAAAAAAATGTTGAGTACCTACTATGTAACATGTACTGTTCTAGGTATGGGAATATAACAATTAACAAACCAACAAAACTCTCTTTGGAGCTTATCTGGTGGGGAAAACAAACACACATCAAAAATACAATACAGATAGTATAAAAGGTTATTAAGAATATAACAGGGAAATTTTAAGAAAGTTACTTTTATTAAGAAACTACCAGATAGAAAACAAATTTGGATGGGATTACAAGAAAACTTTGTGAGAACAGAGTTTTGATAAAATTGCTATAAATCAGGGGTAAAATCAGATGACTTAAGTTTAGGTGAGGCTCGCTAAGAAAACGATACTCAAAATTTTTGTCACAAGTAAATTTAGGCTGGAAATATTTAAAGAACTGCCAAGACCATCTAGAACTTTCAAAAACTTCTCATTTTAGCTTTAACCATTTTGATTACAGTTGGTTTAGATGCTTATGGGTCCTGCCCTCATACTGGTTAAGCTGTTTCATGGCTCTTCTTGGAAAATATCCATATAACTGGGGTCTCGGAAGATCCACCTTGGAATTAATCACAGGCATATTCGCTGGTTGGTGGTGAAAGCTGTTTCAACTTTTTTGCTTTTCAAGTGAGAAAAATCCTCATTTATTTTCTAATCTGATACCTTTCCTGCATTAATGATTCACGTGACCCTGGGCAAGTTAATTCACTTCACAGAGCCTGTAATATTCCAATATTCCTTACTACTTTATGGAATTGGAGTGAGGGCCACTGAGATATTGTATTAGGCAGAAGAATAACGTCTGCCTCCTTCAAAGATGGCCCTGTCTCAACCCCTGGAACCTGTGAATATGTCAGGTTGCGTGTTAGAGGAGAAATCACACTGCACATGGAATGCAGGTGGCTAATCAGCTGACCCTCAGATGGGGCGAGGAGCCTGGATTACTCAGGTGAGTCCAATGTAGTCACGAGAGTCTTTATTAGGGGAAGAGGACTTCTGAACCTTCTTTTAGCTCAGGAGAACCAGAGGGATAGCAGCTTGAGGAGGTCTCAGTCTAATGTTCCTGGCTTTGAAGCTAGGGGAATGCAGCTGTAAGCCAAGGAGTGTGGGCTGCCTGTAGAAGCTAGCAAAGGTAAGGAAACTGATTTTCTCCTAGAGTTTCCCAAATGAATGAGGCCTGTGGATCCATTTCAGATTTCTGACTTCTGAGACTGGAAGAGAATACATTTGCTTTGGTTTAAGCCAGTAAATGTGTGGCAACTGAAATATATAGTAGCAACTGGAAATAATAATACATAAGAGTATTTTGAAATTGGTAGAAATTACGTAAATGTTAAGATGTTATTTTTCTAGTATGATATCTCTGCTTAGTCTCTTCAGCAGACTTGATGGCAGACAGTTTGGTCCCCAGGAGGTCTTAGGGTAGTATCATACTTCTGTGTCAAAAGCAGATTCCTGCCTTTCTCCTTTTGGGGCCTGACTGCTTTTCCGTTTCACTCTAGCTCTTGCGTAATTTGTGAAGCAGATTTGATTACCATGTAATTATCAAAACAACTCCAGCCACCTGCCTTTTTGCTTCCCCAGTTTCCCTTCAATTACTCATGATTCTGATATTCCCAAAGGGAGGGTTAAAGCCCTTGTTTCAGAGTCATAATACTGCAGCAAACTTATGTACAGATAATTCTTTCTTTGTTTTATGAGTTAATTTCTAAAAAGATGTGCAAGGCAATATGCGAAGTATATAGCCAAATATGTAAGTATGTAGGTATGTGTATATATAAACATACAAGCACGTGTCAAATCAAAGTTTTTCCAATGGTTTGAATAAGAATGTTAATAGATTCTCTTCCATCGGTTAAATTACTTTAACTTATGAAGCAGAACTAAAATTTGAGGATTAGACCATTCTTACTAACACCAAATTTATAGAATAATGCAGTAGTAAAATTTTGAGTGTTGTACTAAGGGAATAAAACACAAATCTATGTTTTTAAGTCCTTAAAAACATTAACAAAGTTAAATTGATGCATAGTAAGAAATGTAATAATACTGTCATAATGATTCTTAGGTCAATCCTTGAATAATACTGTTTTTTCTGTCCTTTTATCATTAATTTACACATGAAGGGCCTCTTTTCATTGTAATCTGTTATACTTTTATGGGTTTCCCTAGTAGCTCAGATGGTAAAGAATCTTCTTGCAATGCAGGTGACCTGGGTTCAATCTCTGGCTTGAGAACATCCCCTGGAGAAGGAAGTGGCAACTCACTCCAGTATTTTTGCCTGGAGAATTCCATGAACAGAGGAGCCTGGAGGGCTACAGTCCATGGGGTTGCAAAGAGTTAGACACAACTGAGCGACTAACACATACATACTTTTATATTTCCTTTTCCAAAATTTTATCTTTTATTTAGGGGATGGCATTTGTGCGCCTGCTGACAAGATCCTCATATTATTAGAACTTCATTTTCAATTTGTAATTTTTTTTCCAACAAAAACATTGTACATTTGGGAGTGAGAATACTTCAGGCACAGATATGTACACAGAGACACTCAGATATACCAGTTCTTGTTTATCCTTGGTTTATAATACTTCACAGGTAAGATGGACCCAGAGTTGAGGAACATATCACCCTGTACTTCAAATACACAAATTAAGTAGATTCAGAAAAAAAAAAAATCTCATTAATAACACTATCATAAACTTTTAAAATGAGGACTGTATTGGCCAGTACAATTAATTAATAGCAAGTTGTATACTCCCAGCTTATACTTTTGTGGTGTTTAGAAATGAAGAGCAAGTCTTATTTTTATCTTTCAAAACAGAATTCCAATTAAAATATGACACCATAAGGCAAAGTGTTGTCTGTGGACTAGTGCAAGGTTGTGGAGTGTTACTGTTTTGCTTTAAGTATAAAATTGACAATAATTTCAGATCTACTACGTCTAATAATAAAAGTTTGGGCAGTATTTTGTATGTTTTTGGAGTTTGACTTCATTTTTATAGTGATTACTTTTAAAATTTATTTTAAAAAGTACTGGTCTATGACATAATGGAAATTATTAAAAAAAAAACCCAAAACCCAAAGTGGTCCTGTATCACAAGTAGCTTGAGAAGCACTGTCAACTGAAGAAAAGTGCTTGTATCTAAAAACTAAAGTATGCCAGTACCATAAAACAATATTTGAAGAGTTTATTATAATAAACATTTAAAAATTAGTGAAAGTAAAAAAAAAAAAACCAACAGCTAAGAGATGAGGAAGAGGAAAGTGAAAAAGAAAGACTGATGACTGAAGAGGAAATCATTACAACATAGTATGATTCAAGAAGAAAAAAAGAATGTAATTGTCAGTAGTCGTAAGGTATCTATATATTTAATCAATTAGAAGGTGACAAAATGCCTATGAAGAAAGGAAAAGATTTTGGGACTATAGAGCTATTCCAGGTAAACCTATACATTTATAAGACTGAAAGGCAATTTCCCAACCTCTTATTTTACTGGAGGTTGAATAGAGATCCAATGACTCATTTGGGAATCATACTTGTTTAAATGCCAACTGACAGCAAATTATTATTGAAATTCCACTTTGGAATTATATTCAAAATTAGTTTTAAAAAAAGATGAACTTCATTACATTTATATAACATTTTTAACCCAAAACATTATTCCAGCTGTTTCTAAAATAATGTTTTTCTAGTATTGTATACAGTGGAAACATTCAACTAGAATTGATCACTCACAAAACTATACTTACATATTCCTTCACGTTTTTCGTTTTCACAGCTTTGTATGAATAATATGCAGGATAAAGCATTCCAAACACCAACCTAAAAGCAAAAAGTGCAAGAGGACAAGTCAAACATAACAATGGTTTTAATAGCTCATGAAAATTTCACCTAATAGAAAAGTAGCTAGTACATGAAAAACACATGACAGTGTGAATGTACAAAAACTTGGTGTATAAACTAAATCCACTCAGAAAAGCAAAGTAAAAAAATATTTTTTGAAAACAAAAGGATAGTTTCAATATTTTACACAGGTTTATAGGAACAAAAGATTTATTTTTAAAATGGCCATTTAAAATCTTTTATTCCACAAGAAATATTCTGTGGATCCCTGAACATTTTGGAAAATGTACGAAATTGCAGAAAGTAAAATAAAAATTGTCCTCAGACTATGAGTCAGAAATTACCACAGGCAACACTTTAGTGTATGCAAATCCCATTTTTTATCCATGGGATGCAAAACTAAAACAGACATAATGTTTGCATACACACACACAATTTGTGATAATGGAAAAAGTGGTCCTTCACTCTGATTTCTAATTATGACAGTGCTATGAAACAATACTTGATATATTTATTATATATTAAAATAACATAAAGCATTTATAAAATGACAATTACTAACAGGATTTAGTTCTAACAGATAGCATTAAATTATTTCACCAAATTCCAGATCCAAGGAATGTGTGTGTGTATATACACATATATAGACACAGAAATGACATGACACAGTACACATTGGCATTTTCACATAATATATCATGGAATTTTTCTCTTCAAATATTAGTCTACAGTATTGATATCTTCACTACATTCCACAATGATATCTGCATGGTTTAAAACAGTCCCGTATTTATAGGCTTTTGGTTGATTTCCAGATTTCTGCTATTGTGCTGTATTTAGTCGCTCAGTCATGTCCGACTCTTTGTGACCCCATGGACTGTAGCCTGCCAGGCTTCTCTGTCCATGGGGATTCTCCAGGCAAGACGACTGGAGTGGGTTACCATGCCCTCGTCCAGGGAATCTTCCCAACCTAGGGATCGAACCAGCGTCTCCAATGTCTCCTGCATTGCCAGGCAAGTTCATTACCACTAGCGCCATCTGGGAAGCCTCTCTTAAGGCAGAGGAGTTAGTTCCTCAGGGCAAGAATTCTAAAAAGGAATTTTCCTCAAACTTTCTCTGGAGTCTAAAGAATACTGTGACCACAGTCAAAAATCATATTTTCCCATGGTCATAGTTTCATAGCCAAAATTTAGACCAGATAGTGCTCAAATTGGCCCTGATAACAAGGGCAGATTGGTCCCAGCATGGATTGTCCCTCTGTGGAAGTAGGGGTCTTAGTTTGATCAGCCCCAGGATGTTGATTATAGGAGAAAGTCTTGGACATAAGGGAACTTCAGTCCACTTTCCTATCCTATGCCAATAAAGAGCTAATATTTTCAGGCCATTTTTCTTATCCTTGGATCACAGCTATAGGTTGACCAGTCATTAAAAAATTTTTTTTCCAAGAAGTTCCCAGGTGGGGTGTGGAAACTTAGAGGAAATGCGTCCCATATTAGCTCGAGCAGTTTGTACCAGATGTCTTCGCACTATTGCACATAATACAAAAAAAATTTCTGTGCACACTGATATTCACTTCTTAATTGTGATGTTGCTTCATAGAGTATAGACACTTTTGCCTGTTACCAAATATGCCCTGTAGAGAAGGAGTTCTACTTTACATTCCTATACATTGCCAATAGTGTGCATCATGATTTTTTTTAAAAGTTTGTCAGCTAAATAAGAGAAAAATAATCATCTCATATGTTTTAGTAGTTCAAGTATGAGTTTTTTCCCCAAGTATTTACTGTTTTTCCAATACATGAAGTGTATGATATTCTGTTGTCTACTTTCATGTTTTGGTTTATTTTTTAAAAAGAGTTCTAGAATAGTTTTATTTTTACAGAAAAATTGGGAAGATAGTATAGATAGTTCCCAATAGTTCCCACTGAGTCCTATTAACACTACCTTGTATGAGTATGGTATATCTGTCATAATTAATAAATCATTTAAACTACATTATGAACTAAAGTCCAGGCTTCCCTGGTGGTTCAGATGGTAAAGAATCTGCCTGCAATGTGGGAGACCAGGGTTTGACCCCTGGGTTGGGAAGATCCCCTGGAGAAGGGCATGGTAACCCACTTCAGTACTCTTGCCTGGAGAATTTCATGGACAGAGGAGCTTGTCCACAGGCTACAGTGCACTGTGTTGCAGAGAGTCAGACATGACTGAGTGATTTTCACAAAGTCCATACTTTATTCAGATTTCTTACAGTTTTTACTTAGCATCCTTTTTCTGTCCCAGGATCCCATTAAAGATAGCATATTTACAGTTGCTGTCTTCCCTTCTTAGGACTCTTGGCTGCAACAGTTTCTCAGACTCCTTGGGAAATGATCTGGACAGTTTTGAGGAATATAGATCAACTACACTGTAGGAATACCAGACCACCTGACCTGCCTCTTCAGAAATCTGTATGCAGGTCAGGAAGCAACAGCTAGAATTGGACACAGAACAACAGACTGGTTCCAAATAGGAAAAGGAGTACATCAAGGCTGTATACTGTCACCCTGCTTATTTAACTTATATGTATCTCAGAGTACATCATGAGAAACGCTGGGCTAGATGAAGCACAAGCTGGAATCAAGACTGCCGGGAGAAATATCAATAACCTCAGATATGCAGATGACACCACCCTTATGGCAGAAAGCGAAGAACTAAAGAGCTTCTTGATGAAAGTGAAAGAGAAGAGTGAAAAAGTTGGCTTAAAGCTCAACATTCAGAAAACTAAGATCATGGCATCTGCTCCCATCACTTCATGGCAAATAGATTGGGGAAACAGTGGCAGACTTTTTTTTGGTTCCAATACCACTGCAGATGGTGACTGCAGCCATGAAATTAAAAAGACGCTTACTTCTTGGAAGGAAAGTTATGATGAACCTAGACAGCATATTAAAAAGCAGAGACATTTGCCAACAAATGTCCGTCTAGTCAAGGCTATGGTTTTTCCAGTGGTCATATATGGATGTGAGAGTTGGACTGTGAAGAAAGCTGAGCACCGAAGAACTGATGCTTTTGAACTGTGGTGTTGGAGAAGACTCTTGAGAAGACTCTGCAGGGAGATCCAACCAGTCCTTCCTAAAGGAGATCAGTCCTGGGTGCTCATTGGAAGGACTGATGCTGAAGCTGAAACTCTAATACTTTGGCCATCTGATGTGAAGAGCTGACTCATTTGAAAAGACCCTGATGCTGGGAAAGATTGAGGGTGAGAGGAGAAGGGGATGACAGAGGATGAGATGGCTGGATGGCATCACCGACTCAATGGACATCAGTTTGAGTAGACTCCGGGAGTTGGTGATGGACAGGGAGATGGACAGGGAGGCCTGGTGTGCTGCAATCCATGGGGTCGCGAAGAGTCGGACACGGCTGAGCGACTGAACTGAGCTGAACACTATAGGAAACTGCTCTACCAGCGTCTGATGTTTCTCTTATGATTAGGTACGGTATGGGTTTTGGTGAGGAAAATCACAGAAGCACAGTCCCATCACATCATATTATATCAAGGGCACATACTGTTAGCACGGCTTGTCACTGTTGATGTCAAGCCTGAACACCAGGCTGAAGTGGCGTCTGTTCGACCTTCCCTTGTAAGGTTACTCCCCCGCCCCAGCCTGCTTTCCATGCTGCGGTCTTGAGAAGGACGTCACTACCACGGGCCATGCTCCAGTGAGGAGCTGACCTCTATCTCCATGAGGGTGGAGTCGCTATATAAATTATTTGGAATTCTTCTGCATGGAGATTTGTCTATTATTCCCCAGCCATTTATTCAAGAATTTATTTACATCAATATGAACTTGTATGTTTATTTTACACTTTTTAGGTTTTAATCTGTTACTCAAAACCTTTGAACGGTGGGAGATCTTTCAGTTAATTCCTGTGTCCCTTCGATTTACCTCTATAATTGGGAGGGACTTTTTTTTTTTAAGCAATTACTAATTACTTTCTGGCACTATAAAATGGACCTGGCTCCAAAAAAAAAAAAAAAAAGGACCTGGCTCATACCAGGTAATAATTCCTGTTGCATTCCTAGATCAGCCACTTCTCCATGGAGTCTTGGTTTCTTTTATCGGACAGCGGTATTTAAGACTGTCTGGTATTTAAAATCTGAGTGCTAAGTGTGCTCACTGTTACTGGAATGTAGGTGATCCAAGGCCCTTCTTTGTGTGTTTTGTATGTTAGCCAATATCTTTCTAGGTTATTATCTTTTGCTTTTGTTTATGAAGTTTGTTCAAATACATAATGTATTACATTTGCCAGGGCTGCCATAACAAAATACCACAGACTGGATGGTTAAAACAATAGAAGTTTATCGTCTCATAGTTCTGAAGGCTGGAAGTCCAAGGTCAAGGTGTGGGCTAGTTCAGTTTTTTCCTGAGGTCTTTCTCTTTAGATTGTAGGTGGTCAGGTTCTCACTGTGTCCTCGTGTGGTCATACCTTGGTCTGTGTGTGTCCTAATCTCTTCTTCTTGTAAGAATATCAGTCATATTGGATTACAGCCCATTCTGAATACCTCATTTTAGCTTACTTGCCTCTTTAAAGATCTTATCTCCAAATACAGTCACATTCTGAGATATACTGCAGGTTAAGATTTCAACATACAAGTTTTGGGAGAGGGACACAATTCAGCCTGTAACACATACTAATTTAAGGACTTTCAAATAAGTGTTTGCATTTAAATATGCATTCTTAGACTGAGAGCAAGTGAATATTTATATCTTTATATGAGAGATAGAGAGAGAGATTTTTAGTTCATTTGTAGTTTATCTGAGGGAGGGGGGATGGGCTATAAATCCCTGGCGACTTATCCTTCAGAAAGCTGAACCATGCGTTTGGGGCTCATGTCACCAGGTCTGAGGAATAACGAGTCTTCTCCTGCTCGGGATTTTATCCTCGCCAACTGAAAGTCACATTATTAACACTCTCCGTTATCTAATAATACTACCCTG